TCAGACATGAAAAAAGTACATCTGCAGAGTGACGCATCCCCAAGGTCACCATCGGTACGACACGTCTGAAAAGCAGGAGAGTTGGCGGAGCGCACGGCTTAGCAACATAAGACCAGTGAAATGGGGCCGAAATTGTCACGACCGGAACACCAGCATTGGCTGTACAGAACGAACAAGTGAACGAACATATTCGGCCATTTAGTCATCCTGTATATATTTACGCAGAAGGTCTGCATGTTTTGTCTTGACAATACAGCCGTGTCCGGAGTTCTCCGTCTTCTCCTTGTCGCGTAGTCCGGCAGGCTCAGTGCCGACGTAACCAATAGACGGCCCCCCACAATGCAACAGAAAGCAGTAACCAGTATACTTGGCCGGGTCAAACAGGGCAGCACATTCGGTTGAAATACATTGCAAGTGAGATATTCGGTTCAGTTTCTTGTTAGTACTAGAATTTGAACCTCATACACTTCCATATGAGACAGTTACAGTTTCCAACACACACGCACAACTTAACATATGTGTGAGATACCCCATCGTCGAATGTTTTCTGGGAAATAAGGAATGCAAAGTTAAAAACAGTAGGTCTTTCAAGATCATATGTTCACTCGCTTGATGTTTACCTGAGCTGTTTTGTACCACGTGACTCCTTTGAAACGAGTTAGTCACCTTTTCAGAGTTTACTTCAATTTCAATACAAATCACAAGAAGCACAGTTTTCGGTGCGAGCTAACCACCACCACCGCAGAGATGTGAGTTCTTCAAAACCGAGCCCAACTTGCATTATCGTGAATTGGTAAACAACCGTTCATTAGCATATCAATGCGATCCGGATAGATATTGAGTTCAAACTGTTTATCTCTTGTTCAAATGCTTCGCATGAAACAATTGCACATGTGAAAACTGAATTGTGGACAGGTCGAAAAAACACACGTTGTAGTCGATTGCTTTTTCGGTGTTGTACCCTTAGGCCAATGAGGGACGATTTAAGGACCATGTATTTACTACTCAGTTGAAGAGAAAGAACTCCCAGGTCAGGCTTAATGATGCCTGTTGATTTGTTGATTTGAGCTGGGCAATTTGTTTGCAAGCTTTTCATCACCAATCGAGGTAATGACATCATCGGTGCGATGCGAGTAGATTACGTTGTGGCTGGAATTTGTGAAAATGAATGCAAGTGGAAACAGTTTTCTCCCTTCAATGGAACTGCGAAACAAGCGTTGTGTTTAATTATCACTAGAGATTAGACATGCCAGGTGTTCTCGGCCAGGCATAGAATAACTTGCCAGCGAGACGAACCAGAAACATTCATATACAACGTAAATCACGTCCTGTTGGCAAAACCCCAAAATTTCTTCTAAAGCATCACTTGGTGAAACAGCAGGTGTACAGCTTTCCCAAACCTACCCCGATAACCAGTTTCAAGGAACAAAACGCGAGGAGAACAAACTCATCCTCACAGTGTTGTCCACGGGAAAAACTGGGATTTGTTCTACTTTGGTGCTTTGCACTGCCTCTGAACTTTCCCATAGGAAGATGAAGTTGGTATGGGTAGACCGCTCTGAAAAGCGTCTGCCTTGCAAATGGCAGTTTTCGATCGAGCCAATGGACTTTGCTTACCCCTTTGCGGATTCAGAACAGTCGGTCGTTTGCAGTAGACGTCTTGTGATATATTCTCATTGGACGGCACAGCATGGTCACAGTCATTTTGGCTGCTGTGGTTGCCGTAGGTATATAGATGTTTTTCACTAGAATCGCCATGAGGCGCTATTTTTGTCTTCAAGACCCATTAGCTTTGGTTAGAGCCGCTCAGACGGTTAGCGAACCACACGACAAATACTTATTTCCCAGTCCGGCAACGGGTGGATCGAAATTAGCTTTTTTTCACGTGCACTGTACACGTGACTCATGTCCGGTCATTCAGGAACGCGAATCAACTTGATGAGTCAGATGTGTTTTTTGGTCTAACCAGCCAGCGATTAGGGAAAAACAGTCTGACTACTGAATGCATGGTCTTGAGCAGAATAGTGTGAAGCCGGTAATCAGTAGGTCAAGTAAGCCAGTGACACCCTAAATCTGCGCTGACACAATCCTTTTCTGCACCGAGCAAGCTGCAAGTTGTCCTGCGGAGATGAACAAACCTAAGATTTGTTGTTATGGGTGCGAGGGTATTTTGAAGTTTTCCAACAGATATCTTGTCCC